AAACCCCGTCTCTACTAAAAACACAAAAATTAGCTGGGTGTGGTGGCACATGCCTGTAATCCCAGCTACCTTGGAGACTGAGTCAGAAGAATTGCTTGAACCCAGGAGGCAGAGGTTGCATTCCAGCCTGGGCAACAGAGTGAGACTCTGTCTCAAAAAAAAAAAAACCAAAAAAACAAAAATTAGCTGGAGGTGATGGCGTGTACCTGTAGCCCCAGCTATTCAGGAGGCTGAACCAGGAGGATCACGTGATCTCGGGAAGGTCAAGGTGGTAGTGAGCCATGTTCCAGACAGGGTACAACAGCGTGAGTGACAAGTGAGACCCTACCTCAAAAACAAATGTTTGTTCAATTGAATTAAATTACTGGTCTGAGTGAGACCCCACCCTTTTATTTTCTCCTGGTCTGAAGACTAGAAGGTAATTTTTAGTTAGTAGTTTAGGTTTGTCATAAATTCACCAGAGATTTTTATCAGCAGTGACAGCAAAGAGGACATTGTGGCTCTACATCCTTGAAATTTCAACTACTTGCCAGGCACCGTGGCTCATGCAGCTCACGCCTGTAATCCCTGCACTTTCGGAGGCTGAGACAGGCAGATCACTTGAGGTCAGGAGTTTGAGATCAGCCTGGCCAACATGGTGATATCCTGTCTCTACTAAAAATACAAAAATTAGCTGGGCATAGTAGCAGGTGCCTGTAGTCCCAGCTACCCGAGAGGCTGAGGCTGGAGAATTGATTGAACCCAGGAGGCAGAGGTTGCAGTGAGCCGAGATTGCACCATTGCACTCCAGCCTGGGCAGCAGGGTGAGACTCTGTCTCAGAAAAAAAAAAAAAAATTCTGTAGGAAATGTCTGATTTCAGAAAACTGTTAAAATACTGGGCAACGGAGTGAGTTATAACAAGAGAAGGCCTACAAGAAGGAAATATCATTAGAAATTAACTCCCCTGGACAGCCCACTCTCACACAGGTTTGATGGGATAGCACCTTTCCGAAGGGCAATGCAACAACTTGTATCAAAGATTTTATTTATTTATTATTTATTTATGAGACGGAATCTCACTCTGTCACTCAGGACACAGTGCAATGGCGTGGTTTCGGCTCATTGCAACCTCTGACTCCTAGGTTCAATTGATTCTCCTGCCTCAGCCTCCCAAGTAGCTGGGACTACAGGAGCCTGCCACCAAACCCCGATGATTTTTTTTTTTTTTTTTTTTGAGATGGAGTTTTGCTCTGTTGCCCAGGCTACAGTGCAGTGGTGCAATCCCGGCTCACCGCAACCTCCAGCTCTCGGGTTCAAGCGATTCTCCTGTCTCAGCCTCCCGAGTAGCTGGGATTCTGCCTGCCTCAGCCTCCCCAAAGTGTTGGGATTACAGGCATGTCACCGTGCCCAGCAATGTATCAAAGCTTTAAAAGAATTCACCCAGTCCTGCATGGCGGCTCACACCTGTAATCCCAGCACTTTGGGAGGCCAAGGAGGGTGGATCATGTGAGATCTGGAGTTGGAGACCAGCCTGAGCAACGTGGTGAAATCCTCATCTCTATGAAAAATACTAAAAATTAGCCGGGTGTGGTGGCTATCAAACCTGGGAGCTTGAGGCAAGAGAATAGCTTCAAGTCGGCCAGGCACAGTGGCTCACACCTGTAATCCCATTACTTTGGGAGGCCAAGGCAGGTGGATCACGTGAGGTCAGGAGTTCAAAACCAGCCTGGCCAACCTGGTGAAATTCCTTCTCTACTAAAAATACAAAAATTAGCTGGGCGTGGTGGCGGGCGCCTGTAATCCCAGCTACTCAGGAGACTAAGGCAGGAGAATCACTTGAACCCAGGAGGCAGAGGTTGCAATGAACCAAGATTGCACCACTGTACTCCAGCCTGGGCGACAGAGTGATACTCTGTCTCAAAAAAACAAAACAAAACAAAAACAAAGCACTGCTTATAGGCGGAGCGCTGTGGCTCACGCCTGTAATCCTAGCACTTTGGGAGGCTGAGGTGGGTGGATCACCTGAGGTCAGGAATTCAAGACCAGTCTGGCCATCATGGTGAAACCCCATATTTAAAAAAAAAAAAAAAATAGCTTCAACTCGGGAGGCGGAGGTTGCAGTGAGCAGAGATTGCATCACTATACTCCAGCCTGGGTGACAGCGAGACTCCATTTCAAAACAAAAAACAAAAAAAGATTGGTGACAACTCAATTGTGCAGAATTGGTTAAATTAAGGTACATTTATTGCATGTAAACAGCCATTAAAAATGTTCCAATAGGCCAGGTGCGGTGGCTCAAGCCTGTAATCCCAGCACTTTAGGAGGCCGAGGTGGGCGGATCACGAGGTCAGGAGGAGTTCCGGATCAGCCTGACCAATATGGTGAAACCCCATCTCTACTAAAAATTTAAAAAGTAGCTGGGTGTGATGGCGCACACCTGTAATCCCAGCTACTCAGGAGGCTGAGGCAGGAGAAGAATCACTTGAACCTGGGAGGTGGAGGTTGCAGTGAGCCGAGATCTCACTATTGCACTCCAGCCTGGGAGACAAGAGGGAAACTATGTATCAAAAAAAAAAAAAAAAAAAGTTCCAACAGCTCACTGGGCAACATGGGGAAATTCCATCTCTATAAAAAAAATAGTAAAATCAGGCTGTGCGCGGTGGCTCAAGCCTGTAATCCCAGCACTTTGGGAGGCCGAGGCGGGAGGATCAGCAGGTCAAGAGATCGAGACCATCCTGGCCAACATGGCGAAACCCCGTCTCCACTAAAAATACAAAAATTAGTTGGGTGTGGTGGCGTGCGCCTGTAGTCCCAGCTACTTGGGAGGCTGAGGCAGAATTGCTTGAACCCGGGAGGCGGAGGTTGCAGTGAGCTGAGATTGTGCCACTGCACTCCAGCCTGGCGCCTGCCAACAGAGCAAGACTCTGCCTCAAAAAAAAGAAAAATTAGCTAGGTGTGGTGGCACCCACCTGTAATCCCAGCTACTTGGGAGGCCAAGGTGAGACGATCATTATGGCCCAGGAGTTTGGGACCAGACTGGGCAACATAATGAGATCCTGCCTCTATTTTATAAAATTAAAAAGTTACGATTTACTGATTTTGCTTTAAAAACTTCTTTAGTTCGTATCCGAGTCACAGCACCAAAAAAGAAAAAAAGTTCTTTATGTGTATCAAGAGATAACTAAGAGGAAAAGAGGAAATATACCAAAATGTTTGCACTTTCACCGTCTAACAGCCATTATCTCCAGAACTTGATACAAAGCAGAAGGTATGGCACTAAATGCGTTAAAAACAAGTAACAGCAAATGCATATGCGACAAGTGAGAACATGCAACATATTTTTTTTTTTTTTTGAGAAGTCTTGCTCTGTCGCCCAGCCTGGAGTGCAGTGGCAAGATCTCCGATCAATGCAACCTCCACATCCCGGGTTCAAGCGATTCTCATACCTCAGCCTCCCGAGTAGCTGGGACTAAAATTAGCTGCCACCATGCCCAGCTAATTTTTTGTATTTTTAGTAGAGGTGGGGATTCGCCATGTTGGCCAGGCTGATCTCCAACTCCTGACTTCAGGTGATCTGCCCGGGGCCTCCCAAATTGTTGGGATTCCAGGAGTGAGCCACTGGGCCCGGCCAACAACACAGTTTTTTTTTTTTTTTTTTTTTTTTTTTTTTT